GGGGGGGGGATACAATGGCAGCATACGCTATGTTAAGTTAGGTACATACGTTGGTCGTACTAAAGCTAGTTTTACAATATAATGGAAACGCTACTAAGGCCTTTCGCTTTGCTACAAGCCGCTTTGGAGATGTTTCGTTACAGTTCATAAGACGAGGGATACTAAAGCTACGTCCGCTGACTCATCGTTCATCGCTCAACTCTCATTCAATTTCTATGTACATGTCGTTGCTTTGCGTAGAGGGTCTAAAACTTTGATCCGCCTCGGGATCACTGAGAACACTAGCATCTGACTCGGCCTCAAAATCCGGTTGTGGAAAGTGTGACGTGTGTGGTTTCGGGGCATCCACATCCACATTTGGCGTCTGAGCATCGATGAAAAAGTCTGCGAAGATGGCGTAAAACATACAAAAATACAATACCTAAAATCACTTTTAAGATATAAACATGCATATGTAAATGTGTGTGGTGTGGTATAATTTTTTTGGAATTTGTTTCGGGATGAGAATCAACATGTATAGACATACAATTTTGATTAGTTACCTGCCACAGATAGACAATTTGTACTCTAAGAATGCTAAATATATACTAGGTGCATGAAAAGTGCGATGACTAGTGCTTGGGTGGAGTGCTTTAAAAGGCTACGTCGTGCAGTTCGGGAGTCGTGGGCATGATTTGTACTGCAAGAAAGTTTTGGTTTGTGTTAAATTTACAAATGATGAATCCCGGATGATTGGATGACATTGTGCGCTATAAAATAGGGGCCATTCCCTCCAATCAATGAATATTCAACCAACCTGATTCGACGCCATTCCACTCGCTGACGACCGTGTTGTGGCTGTGCTGGTGGGGATTCGGATGATCCTCGACTGAGCCCTCGTAGATCTGTAGGTCTGTGGCCAGCTCATCGTGCTCCGTCATATCGTCAAAGTCAAATATCTCGGTTACCTTCACCTTGTTCGTGTTGTTGTCGGTGTAGTAGTAGGCGTAGAGAGCATCGTTGTGCGTGGTCATCTTGAGAACATGCTCAAAGTTATCGACATCGTCCTCCAGGGGAGTGGCACCGCTAAAATGTTCAATCGTCATTTGCAACTAGCTGATCAACGGAAGGTTGTTCTCCATCTAATTACCACTCATCCACAAGAATGGAGACTCTGGGTCCATATAGCCGGTTCGAATGCAGCAGTCCAGTGGCATCAAAGTGCGGCTGATCATACAGCTGCAAAATAATAAAGGCATCGATTGTTGTTTTCTTTATTTGTTCCCCAAGGGAAATGGCTTATCTAGAGCTCACTCACCGTGAATTTATTGAGCAGGCGGATTTGCATGGCGTTATTCAATTGATTAATCAACTCTTCCACCATTTGTCGGGCTTGCTTGGTAAGTTTTGGGGTCAGTGTCGATATTCTGAGAAAAGTTTGATAATTATGTGAGTAGTTTAAAAACAATTCAAAAGTTTGTCCATGCAAGTAACCTACTTGGATATGGTGGCCAGGAAGAAGTCCATAGGCACAGTCGCTGGCAGCGAGAGCAGTTTGATGCCCCGATGCTTGAAGATCCAGTTGGCAAGGCCTTTGTTCGCCTGCTCGATGTAGTCCTGTATCACATCCAAAACCGTTTGTGGCATGTTTGAGCTCAATGCGTCCTGCATATGGTTATATATTCTTAGAAGAGCTCTGTTTACGCAAAATTAGTATAGAGTCACGTACCTTTCTATGCTTTTTGCACTCCCTGCACTCTGGATCGAACTCCTGCGGCTGGGCCACTGTCTCAGAGACGACAAACGTGGACTGTACCGCCACACAGCGACGGCAGTTAATTAGATTGTTGCGATGCAGGAATTGTAAGGCGTCGTCGAATCCCTGCTGGCAGAACTTGCTGAGAAACTCGGGCCGCGGAGGGAACAGAATCCTTACAAATCGATTGATGTTCTGCCTTGAGATCTCGATGCTGGTGTTTGCCCAGTTCAGGTGGAAGAGCTGGGAGCTCTGGTCGCGCGGGCAGATGTCGCTCTCCCCGCAGAAGGGACTGACCGTAATGGTATTCTCATCTAGAATGGGCAGATTATCGGAGAAGGCACCGTCCATGTAGCGAACGCCACGGAAACGTGGAGGCAGAATTCCTGAGAAGCCCGGTATGAAGCAAGCACAGAGCAGGGCCTGTAGCACTTCTTCCCGAGACTCGAACTCAGAGATGATCACATTCTTGCCATCGTACACACGGGTCAGGGAGATGTGCAGCCGACCGTTAACGCGCTTGTGGGCATCGTCGGGCAGATGCTTCTGCAGGCCCTCCAGCAGGCAGGTTTGTATATTGAAGGAAGGACTGAAAGGACCCAGTGAGTAGCGACGAGCCTCGTTCACCACCCGAAAGAAATCCGATGTCATGCTGCCTGCATTAGAACGGGAAGAAGACGCTTTGATTAGAATAAAGTACATACAAATATAAAAATACACGTTGTCGTATTTTGATAGTTTCGCTAATCAGCCTTGTATAATATTTTCTCTTGGATGGGCTTAATCAGGGCTATCAGGAGATCTAGGCACGGAGCCTATGTCTGATAATGCTCTGGGGTTTTGCGTCATTGTGTCATCGAAAAGGTCACAACATAGTGTTCTAGCTTTGCTGCTATTATTGCTGTTGGGTGCTCTACTCGGTTATGATAGGAAATGACGCGCAAGCCTTGAGTGGTTTGGAAGTGTTTGTTTTTGTTCGACCCCCAAGGCACGCAGCAATTAATAAACGCGTTCGCTGATAAGCACGCAACCTCCATATCGTTCATATATGTACATATGTATGTATGTTTGTACACAACTTTCATACCCGGCACTCAGTACTACATCTGTACCTTAGCGGTTTTTTGTAAAATTTTATACATTTTTTCTTCATCTGTCATCTACATCAACACGCTCCTTTAGCTCGACCCCTTCCTTAAGCCACACACTGCAGAGTCATGACAGAGGCAGAGACGAGGCAGAGACGCGGCAGAGACGCGGCAGAGGCAGAGGCCGCACACTACAAGAAGCAGAGTGTAAATGAGAGAATGTGCAAACAACAAATATAAGCTGCGAGACGGGGTGAGTTTAGCCACTGCAAATGAATTTTTTCATTCTGGCTATAATGGTCCAATCGAATCCCAATTTGGTGATCTGATAGATATGGTCCTTCCCTATAGAATGGCGTTTTTATACCCGGTACTCGAAGAATAAATAGGATATATTGTATTTGTGCACAAAGTATGTAACACACAGAAGGAAACGTTTCCGACCCCATAAAGTATATATATCACATTATATCCTCGACTAACTCCCTTCCCTCTTCTTAAATCTCTTACACCTCTCCCGTAGCTAGTTTCTTAGCTATACTTGCTCTAGTTTAGTTGTGTTTAGTTCTAATTTTCCTCGAATATTATCCAAACATCTATCTTTCCTGCATGCTCGCGACCGGTTCGGTTAATCGCGCCGCTCGTCATGCGGCAGCGCCCCTCGGTCGGTTGGGCGGGAGGAGGGCTGCGTTCTGATGGGTTCCGCGCGTAACAGGCTTTGGCTTGGTGTCGCATGGGCCACTCGATGGTGCAGTCATTGCATATCAACGTCCAGAATATATGTTCTTGATCAGCATCAATAGCCGAGTCGATTAAGCCATGTCTGTCTGTCCGTCCTGATGAGCGCATAGTACTCTGAGACTATAAGAGCTAGAGCCACAAAATGTTGCATCCAGACTTTTGTATGCTCACACTGTTACAAGTGTATTTCAAAAATATAATGATATCGCAACAGTCTGAAGGCAATATTCGGTGGCTCTAGCTTTTATAGTCTCTAAGATCCAGGCGGTCAACAAGACGGACGGACGGACGGACACGGCTATTTCGACTCGGCTATTGACGCTGATCAAGAATACGCTTCCTTCTGTGCGTTACATACATCCACTTTTGTGCACAAATATTTTATTTACTCTTCAAGTACCGGGTATAAAAATCTGCTGGAAGGGGTGGGGGTTAGCCCCTGGACATGAATTTCGGCATTCTGGTTCTAATAATGATCCAATTCTGTCCGGAATTGCGTTTTTAGTTTTCTCTTATCTTTCCAATAGTGGATACAGGAGATTTTTGTCTTCACCCAAAATATGGCGACTCTAGCTTCTATAGTTTCTGCGTCAAACAAGACGGTCAGACGGACAGACAGACAGACTAGACTTCGCTATTGATGCTGATCAAGAATCACTACTTCTTAGTGTTGGAAACCACAAATTCATTTCCCTATTAGCTCTTCGAGTACTACGTATAATAATTAGTTTCGCGGTTGGCATGTGCCATGTCCCAATGCCGATAAGAAAACTACTTCCCATGCCCAGCACTTTATAAATATTTTGATTAGATTCGAGGAGAAATGCCAATGAGCATACATATGAAGTGTATGTATGTATGAAGATCTTCGAGGTATTCCATTTATTCCAGAAATTGTCGTAAAGCGAATTAAAATCCTTCCGACAAGAAAACGCTAGTCTTGTCTGTCGAAAATCACTTTAACCTGCACGAGCCTTATATATATCATACATATATATTTTACATACATATACATATACATAAATGTAAGCCCATGTGCATTGGGACTTGACCAGTGGAAACAAACCATAGTTAGTTACGGATTATATGATATAATGCGTCTTATCATTGATTATAAAAGCACTTATGACATTGAACTATCAAGTGGAGCTTGTAATGTGCCGAAGATGGGCGCGTGTCCAAAAGAGCGAAATACATTTCCAGTCCCAGTGCCACCACTCCCCCCCCCCCCCCCCCCCCCCCCCCCCCCCCCCCCCCCCCCCCCCAACCCACCCAGCCATCACCCTTCACACCACACCCATTCCAAAATATCAAATTAGAATGCGCGATATTCTACTTTCCATTGTCAACAACAATAAAGTAGGGAGGTGATTGTCCAGTCTTTCACTGATGAATCTCTAAATAACCGTGCGCCTACCTATGTACATATGCTCTGTATTCGTATACTCGAAGAGTAAATAGGGTATATTGTATTTGAGCACAAAAGTAGATGTATGTACATATGTATGACGTATGTAACGCACAGAAAGAAGCGTATTCTTGATCAGCTCAATAGCCGAGTCAGCACTTTTTATACCCGGTACTCGAAGAGGAAATATGGTATATTGTATTTGTGCGTATAACGGTTGTATGTAACGCACAGAAGAGAACGTTTCCGACCCCATAAAGTATATACATATATTCTTGATCAGCAATAATAGCCGAGTCGATTGAGCCATGTCTGTCTGTCCGTCCGTCTTGTTGAGCGCCTAGATCTCAGAGACCATAAAAGCTAGAGCTACCAAGTTATGCATCCAGACTTCTGTATGCTCACACTGTTACAAGTGTATTTCAAAAATGAGCCCCGCCCCTTCCGCAACAGCAAAAGGGCGAAAACCTCCCAAACCTACAATTTTGAAGATAAAAAAAACTTTAAACGCCATTCCTTAGGGAATGATCATATCTATCAGATCACTAAATTGGGATTCGATTGGACCATTATTATAGCCAGTATGAATAAATTAATTTGCAGTGGCTAAACCCACCCCGTCCCGCAGCTTATTATTTATAATATTATATTTTTATTGTATATTTGTTTTTTGCACATTCTCTCATTCACACTCTGCTTCGCGCAGTGTGCGGCCTCTGCCTCTGCCTCTACCCCGAGTCTGCAGTGTGTGGGTATAGCGAAGGGGGGCAGCTAAAGGAGCGTGTTGGTGTGAGAAGTGTTGTGGATGTAGATGACAGATGAAGAAAAAGTGTGAAATTTGACAAAACACCGCTAAGGTGCAGATGTAGTACTGAGTGCCGGGTATAAAAGTTGTGACGCGTAAGAAGCGTCGCACACGTCCCTTCTCCTTTAAACTATTTTTCAACATTCTCTCTCACTCTGCTTCGTGTAGTGTGTGGCTCTAGGCCATAAAGCAACTATATAAGGAGGCCCCGTCGGTGGCAGAGTTACTCGTTTGCTTGTCGACGCAGAAGGTTGGCTGCGGACGAATTTTTTTTTTGAAATTGTTTCAAAATGTTTATTTTTTCAGAACACAGACTACTATTATGAAGCAAACTATTAAAAATTAAATTATGAAACAATTCTAATTTTTTGTCACATTGCCTTCAAATGATTAATCAGCACACTCCATTGTCGTTGCCCTCACACTTACAGCGAGAGCCCTTTCACTCGCACTTTTCACTCGCACTATTCCATAATTTTTTCCGACGAGACCTCCTTATATAGTTGCTTTATGCTCTAGGCGAGGGGGGCAAGATGTAGAGATGTAGATGTAGACGTATTTAAAATTGTAAAATATAAATATAAATATTAATAAATATAAATCATTTCGTAAAAATTATTACTTGAAATATAATATTATTAGTCAAGCAGATCTAAAATACGTGCGCAAACATATGTACATATATACAAACATGTACATATGTACTATGTACATTTGTCGAGAGCTGGGTCAAGGCTCAATAGCGCTAGAGCCAAGCAGAAAAATTCGATGTTTGTTACTGTAAATTTGGATTTTTTCTTTTACTTTATGGAATACGAACATTAATTAACTAAGAAAAATTAAGACTACCTAAAAATTCCTGAAAACAGACAATTTACAGAGCCTTTGCTAAAGCATGGCCAAGTATCCTTATTTTTGACATGACTGTATGTGCATTATATATGCACTTACATGCATCCATACATACCCATGTACGTGTACAACCGTCAGAGAAATCACTAAACAAACAATTCAGTTGTTTGGCGAAAGTCAAGTGCACAACTGGAGGTTGCACATAACGGGAGATCGAACAGCAAAGAAACGACATAGTGAAGAGAAACGAAACAGAGAGCTATAGCAACAAAAATACAATACAGTTTCTTGGGGGCTCGACTCGAATGGATAATAAAAACAAGTTTTTATCACACGCCTTGTATGCTGAGCGCGAGCGGAACAGATATATGTAAATCTGTACGTACATAGAGATGTACATACATACATCCACGAGATACATATGTACATATGTACAAACACATGCATGCATTTTATGCTGCTTTCCATTGAACGCTGAAGGCAGAAAACTTTCAACAAAAGAGCAGATCAAGAGGGAAGAGCCCCTCTGCTCTGCCAGCTGGAGCGGCACATATCCATAAAACAACTATATAAGGAGGTCTCGTCGGAAAAAATTATGGACTAGTTTTAGTTAGTTATAGTAGCCTGTGTTCTGAAAAAATAAACATTTAAAAAAAATTGAAAAAAAAAATTTTGTCCGCAACCAACCTTCCGCGCCGACAAGCAAACGTGCACTGAGAATTGGGTAACGCAGCGAGTAACTCTGCCACCGACGAGGCCTCC